GGGACTTTTTTTTTATTTCGGAGCGTCTGCGCTCCTCAAGCATGCGGCCACGGATATTTTTTATCATTCGATTTCCCTCGCCGCTGCCTCTGGCAGATATTATTATTTAGCGAGCGCCGCCACTGACATCCCGGCAAGGTTATTTTTTTTCGCCCCACGCCAACCGGGTTATAAACGTCCTCGGGGCCCCAGCCGGGCTGGTTTTGCCTCCCCCCACACCGCCCCCAGCTCCCCGTTCGTCGTTTTTGAAACCTCGTTTCAGATTCCCCCTGTAAGAGAACCGAGCGTTCCCTCCGGGCTTGCCACACCACACACTACTATACCTTCCACCTTACCCCCCTCCCTCCTCCGCCCACCGTTTGCTACTTGTGTGACGATTAACCGTGTGTGCACCGAATTTTCCTCCCCATTCGCCAGTGACGACGTTTGGGCCCATTACTAAGGGCGTCGTCGAACCGGTTTCCGCCCGCCCCCCTGTTTCATCACCACCAAAACACCAATTCCCCTGTCTCATCAGTGTCATCTGAAACAACCGTTCGCCGTCACCTTCCTTCCCCGTCCACACACCATATACCAAAATTAATGAACCATGACCCGAAAAGCCGAGCCCCCCGTGAAAAAGAACGCCTTCGTCCACAAGCTCTACCAGATGCTCCAGGACCCCCGCCTCTCCAACTTGATTTGGTGGCTGGAGGATAACCCCGACCACAACACGTTTCTGCTTCATCCCGATAAGGAGTTCGCCGCGGCGTTGACGGGCTATTTTAAGCACGGCAACGTGGCGCTGTTCGTTCGCCAGCTCCACATGTACGGCTTCCATAAAGTGCTGGAGCCGCTGGCGCCGCTGTCGGCAGCTGTCGGAAGTGTTGCCGACGACGGAAGTGCCGGAACTGCTCCCGGCGTCCACTCGGAACGGGCGCCAGTATGGGAGTTCCGCCACTCGCTGGGCCGGTTCAAGAAGGACGACGAACAGAGCCTTATCTACATCAAGCGCCGCCTGCTGAGCCACTCGTCGCGCGGCGCCTACGACCCACCGGCGCCGGCGCCGGCCTCATACTACATGCCCCAGTACTACGACCCCAACATGTACTACGCCAAGCCCGGCGCTCCCGGAGCCGCCGGCGCACCGCCGACACCCTACCCGCAGCCGCCGCCGGGGTACCCTCCTTATCCCCAATTAGCATATATGCCGCCGCCGATGATGGCGCCGCCGCCAGCGCCGTCGGGCGCGATGCCGGCACCGATGCCAACGCCGGCAGTGCCGGGAGTGCCACCGCCACCTCTGGCGCATACTCACCAGCCACCGCCGGCAGTGTCGACACCGACGGCAATACCAGGGCAGCAGATCCCGCGGCCACCGCAAACGGCTGGGAGCGCCCAAAGCGCCCAAAGCGCGACTGGCGCTGGTAGCGCCCCTCAGTCGGGAGCGCCGTCGAGGGCGCCGTATCAGTCGCCGGCGCCACCACCTCACCCATATCCTCCTCCTCCTCATTACCCGCTGGTAGCGCAGGCGCCTCCGGCGCCCCTGGCGCTGGGAGTGCCACCAGTACCTACGCCGGCGCCAGTCGCGCAGGCACCAGCGCCAGCGCCAGCGCCCCCACCGGTGCCCCAAGCGCCGATACACTCGACGCCATCGCCGGCACCGATAAACCACCAGCAGCCACATTTCCGCAAGATTTGGCACCTGAACCCGCTGCTGGCGGCTGCTTCACGACCGCGGAACCCGTCGTTGTTGTATGACCCGTTGGCGCCGGCGCCACCGCCGCCGCCGAGCGCTCCTCACAGCAGCGGCGCTCACAGCAGCGCTGGCGCCCACGCACACATGGCGCCGCCGCCCACTCACGGCCACAACCAGCTCCTGCTAGTATCGGAACAGCCACTGCTGGCGGAAGGCCTGGTTTCCAGTGGCACCAGCGGCGCTAGCGGCGCGATCAGCGCTCATGCCAGTGCCCATAACAGCGCCGCCGCCAGTCGCTCTTCAAGCTACCACCACCACCAGCGCCCTAGCGCTGGTTCTATTGGCAGCATCGGCAGCATGGGGTCGTTCGGCACCCCCAGCGCCCCACCTAGCGCGCCGCCTTCAGTACCGCTGAGCAATACCCTGAGCATTCTGGGCCCGACACTGGCGCCGCTGCTGGCGCCGCCACTGCGCCTGGCGCTGAAGTTGCCGCCGCCGCTGATGCTCCGGCTTTCACTGTTCAAGTTCCACGAACAGCACCAGCAGTGGGAGCAGCAGCGTCCCCAGTCGCCGCCGGGAGCGCCGTCGGGAGCGCGCGCGTCGGCGCAAAAGCTGAGCGTGCTGGCGATGATCCGCCCCCTGTTGGTCGAGCTCCACTTGCGCCACCAGCTGGCGCAGGGCCTGTTGGACCTGGCGATGGCGCTGCTGCACTCGAACCTGTTGTTCAGCAACAAGCTGAGCGTGCTGCTGTGGCTGCTGGCGCGAGTGCCGCTGCTCGGGATGGCGCCGTTTGACGACGTCGCCACCGCGCTGCCGCCGATGCCGATGGCACTGCGGCTGCCGCTGCCGTCAGTAGGGGGGGCGCTCGCGCTGGCGGCGCTCGACAAGCGCGCCACCGCGGGAGCAGCGCCGGCAGCGCCGGCGGCGACAGCGCCAGCGTCGTCGCATCATCCGCCTCAACACGGACGGTCGCTGGCGGTGCCGGTGACTCTGTTGCTTGAAGAAGACGACTCGGCGCTGGCCACCCTGGCCAAACGAGCGCGCATCGAGTAGGCGACCAATGAGAGGACCTGGAGCCATTAACGAGAATGAAGACGAAGAGACTCTGATGAGTCCATGGAGCACTAATGACATTCAGAAAGACTATCAAGGTTGTATATAATCGTGTCACAGAACTTTGTGGCCACGAAACGGACCCTGTAGCATTAATACTGACGATTTAATGAGACCAGTGTAGGGACAACGACGCGTTGTTGAGATTTTGTGAACATTAAACTACATAGTGAGTGTTTCCAGATGAAACATGTTTCAGATTTCATCAGGTGATGGCGACAGCATTTGAAACCGGTGATGAAACAAGCTTCTATTATGATGCACTGATGCAAAATCCACAGACTTCTATTATATGTACTATGCTATTCCCACGATGATGAGATGATAAATGTATTCGATGCAGGTAACTATTTGAGCTTAAAACGGCCTCTTCGACACCACTTTTTTCGCGGTAAACTTACGTTTAGCCTCGCCATCGGAATCAGAGTCCGAATCATCGTCATCATCATTATTATTATTGCCATTATTTGCCTTTGATGCCAGCACCAGAGGTCTCGACGGTTTTGACGAATAAGACGGCTTAGCCGATGCCCGTTGATTAAGCTGAGACCGCTTATCGTCTCTCATCTTGTTCAGCAACGCCTGCATCGCCTTCAGCTTGCGGGGTTTGGTGACGGCGTGGGGTTTAGCCGGGGTAGTGCCCTTAACAAATTGACCGACAGTTCTCCCCAGTTTCGCCACGGATAATTCACTAAGACTAGCCCCCTGAGCCACCACCGGTAGATCAAAAAACTGATTAGCATGAGCAGCCGTCAAACCTTGGCTCGATGGCGCCGCGGGCGTATTTTTGGTATTGTTGACTGCCTGATTGGGACGGAGCCAATTCAACGCGAGCTTCGAGTTCTGAGTCATCGCATGCTGGAAACGAGCCTGTAACGCCTCCTTCTCCTTAATCTCCTGTCGTCGACTCATAATTGGTTTCAAATAGTAATTTGGGAGGATATAATGGTGGTAGTGGTGGTGGTGCTGGTACTCGAGTAAATTCGCGATGACTAGTGAGATTATATGCAGGACGCGATGGCACTCATCATACTACCCATTCCTTTCATGAATCCAAGAATAGTAAGTGCCAAGATAATACTCGGGATCGAACCATTTTTCTTTCAAAAGCCAGCAAATGTAAATCTCGGCGACCAGTTGCCAATGTATTGTGGGGTTTCGCCAACGCCAAAAAAATAGTGATCAATCACCACTTCCAATAGCTGCTTCTATCTGAGTCAGAAGTACCTTTAACAGCTATCTGGTGGTACAGGTGTCGGTGGCGAGACTTACAACGTCATCAATACCGTGCTTACGGCTACAGGGTGTCTGGTATGTGAAAGCTGGTTGTCTCTCGATATTAATGAGTCAGGGCCACTTAACCGAGAGATACCGAAATGAGAGCTTCAAAAAACGTTGGGCCCCGCAGCTGCTGCCTGCAAATTGCCCTCCCCGTTAATGCATAGCCAAAAACAGCACAGACAGAAAACAAAAAAAATTATCAACAAATGAAAATAATTTCCATCGGTGATAGGAGCCCATTTGGCCAGGTGGGCGATCCTACGCTTCACCCCGCTAACAACAGTGCTACAATGTAATGTCCCCGGGCTCTTAGTCCCGATATTATTCCCTGGTTGGGACAATGGAGGATTGATTATCCGGCTCCCGCCCCCCGCCATTGTCCCCCCGTTGGCGTGGCGATCGCTACGCCGTTAGCAATCTCTCAACATAGCCATTTATCGACCCCACTTTCTACTAGTGAAAAATCGTGCGGCTCAAGAAAAGCGGGGGTGGGCGTTACCCGCGCACTAGCAACGACGCCACACTCAAAAGATCAAACCCCGCGATTTTTAGCCATGACGGTGGTGGCGGTGCTCAACCACCACTACAGCGTCGCCGGCTACGTCCTCGCCTACTGGATGGCACTACACACTCCCCAGGTCCACGTAGTGGTGGTGGACCATGGCTTATCGCCGACAATGCCGCCGATAATCGCCAATTGCCACACGCGCCACCCCGTGGATATGACCCCCATTCCGGCTATCCCGCTCCAACCAGTACAATTTGAAGGTCATCCGAGGCCTCCCTATTCAGTGGAGGCTCCCAATTTACCCTTGGTAGCGGTGACCCCCGCCAATTCCGGCTCAAACCAGCAGAAATGGTGGCTGTATTGGTACTACCACCCGCACCAAGTGGTGGGCTATATCCGGGCCAATTTGCCTTCAAACGTCACCGTATTATCCCTGAGAAACCTTCATCAGCTTCATAACCAATTGGGAGGTATATGGTTTGATTTTACAGCGCCTGACGATAGTGATGATGCCTCTACTTTGGGAGCTAACGTCCAGGTGCGCGCTACCATGCTGGGACCCCTACCATTAGCTCAATGGGCCTACTGGTCGAGGGTGGGCGTTAGTACCGTCAATATCAGTGCTACTAGTACTCCCTCCCACTATGTGGTTGACGTCGGCGGCAAACTGCTTGATTTGGCGGGATTATTACTGGAGGTAGCCCCAAGGCTTATGGTCCATTTAAGAAGAGTTCCAGTGAATTTGTAAGAGACTTTTAACATCTCTGACCTTATCTGGTCTATTTCTTTGTCTATTAAGTTGTTGATTGGGTCTATCATATCGGCAACGGGTAGATACCTGCCAAACGGTCGATGGTGGGGGCGATTAAAGGGTGGCTCAAGATGGGCCCGATTACGGGCATACTCCGCAAGAACTGGACGATGGTACCGAAGAAATCACCAAACAATCCTAAGATGCCCGCCAGCTCTAACATAAACCCGATAAACGCGTGCTTCATAAGGATTAAAGCGATCCCGGCTAAAAAGCATATCGTGCCCCGAATCTTATTGGGACGGCTGAAAAACGAAAGTGTCCGCAGCGGACCAATGATAAGGATGATGCCGATCAAAAAGAGGATGTTGCCGAGGGCAAGGAGCCCCAGGTCGAAGAGGGTCATCATCCCGAGGAAGAAGAAGAAGATGCCCCCCGCCGTGAACCCCACCCCGAATTCTAACGTTAGTCACTTCAAAGAAAAATAATCACTGCAACGCTGCCTCAGAGGCAGCGTCTCTTCTGGCATTTGCGGTACTCACTTTGTCGTTCCAGGAGCCACATCATGGTTGTGTGGATCGTCCTTTTTTTTCGGTGCGGCTTTGACGACGGCGTGTCCACCGCTCATAGATATAAACTATAGATAGCATGAGTGGGAAGAATAGAGTTGTTTTTGAGGTGGATGGAGATTGATAGATTTGTATATCTTTGGTTATTGCATAGTCACAAGTTTCTTTTAAGTTTTATTCAGAAAAAGGGTAGACATTACCCTAATTAATCACTACTATAGAGTAAAACAGTAAAGACACTTAAGATACATTATCAGGCTCAGACGTGTACCTAATGATCATAGAGTATTGCCTACCTCGTCAAGTCACTTTGCCTACCACATTTCTTCACATTCCTCAGTTAAACACCATTTAAACTCACCGTCAAGATTCCGAGTATTTTTCCTCCACCCAAAACGAAAAGTAAACGAGAAATTCAAACGCTAAAGCAGATGAAAAAAATGTAAACGCTGCTGGCTTGCGTTATCGTCACACGACTTATCTTTTGAAACCGCGGACCGCGTTATCCAATGAGAAGGTGCCGTCGTTGTCGGAGTTGTCGTGCCGGCACCGCCCCCGTTAGCGCTCTCGGCAAAACCGTTTTGGGGGGGGCCTGCGGCTCGGCGGCAGGTAGACGCCATTGTCCTGTGGGTTGCACCACCGAGCTGCTGCCGCTGCTGCTGCTGCTGCCCCCACACAGAACCAGAGGTAAGATTATCGTTGGGAGCGATTGACGTTCGCGCACACGAGCCCGGGCCCCCAAGACGTTATCCGGAATATGGGCGCCCTGCAATTAACTGCCTCAATGCGTCAGCAAACAATATCAGCAGACGCGGAGTCGCTGTCGGTTTTTCCGAATCCCCAGCTCAATGACTTTCTAAGCCTAACCGTGGCGGAGTATCAAAATAAAGTTGTAGCCAAAGTTGAAGGACTGGTGTAGCTAGTGGGAATGATGTAGCCATGTAGGACTATCAAAACAAAAACCAAAGACTACAATCAATACTAATAATTTATGTTTATAGCTGTTAGAGTGTTTGTTAGTCCATCCTATATCAGCCCTTTTCTCTACTGAGCACTATCTCTGGTGACCATCTCTACGGCTGCCACTTTAATCTCAGTGCGATAGTTCGACCTTCCTCTGCTGCACCGATGTTTCCTGAGTGATTACCTGCAGGAGGCGCAGCGCCCCACAAGTCATCTATAATCCCGGTAGCCGTCGCCACCACTCCGTCCCTAAATGTCCCATCATATACCCGATCTGCCGCCCTTACCGCCCGACGAAGACCTCCCCACGTATGAGGAGGCCACCAGCAACCCCCCGCCGCAGCCAGCCCGCCGTCCGCCGCCGCATTCGGCGTCCACGCCACTGCTCCCACAACGCCGCCCGCCGCCGCCGCCGCTGAGGCCTACGGGACGAACCTCGGCTCCTAGCCACAGCAACCACTCCTCCTCATCATTGCCTGCTCGCTCCAGTGGCCGCAAACCGCCTCCGGCCCGTCCCAGCTCGCTGGCAAGCTCGCGACCCGCCAGTGCCCGACCCACCAGTTCTCGCCCCTCAGGCACTTCTCTGGCCTCGTCGTCGCTTTATAACAACAACGCCAACCTACCCTGGAACTACCCGCTGCATTTCTTCTGCTCGCTGTGCAAAAACCTGGGTTTCAAGCCCCGCAACGGCAAAGCGTGTCTTGACTGTTGGTACCGTTTCTACTTAAGCGACCACGCCTGGAACCCGAACCGGAACTTACCCTGGAAGTACCCTAAGCGTTTCATGTGTGACAAGTGTAATAACACCGGCACTAAGGTGAAAAACGGGTTACTGTGCCAGGACTGCTGGGAGCGGTTTGGCCCCCGAAACCATGGCTACGTGCAACCTGCCCCTTATCTGCTGGGTTCAGGGCTTTCGCTGTTCCTCTTTGGTGGCCCCAGTGGCGGCAATTACGTCCCCTACGGCGGTGGTGCTCTCCACGTGAACCCCGGTGACCCGAGAATCGGCGGTACTCTCTGTGGCCGGTGCCGCGGCAGCGGCCGTGTCCTGTTCTTCCTCGATGAAGATTTGTGTCCCCAATGCCATGGCGTCGGCAGGGTATTTATTTGATGCCTTATCATCGGTTTGGGTGTTCCACAAAATACCAGGCGAGAGACGTCAGAGTTTCAGTGTGGATGCAAATTCCACTTGCTTGGGGAGCTGCAAAAATAGAAATCCCCAACGGCGATGTCGCCTCGATTCCTCCCCACAGATTGTGTGCGCGGTGGGGTAAGCGATGGCGCCCCATCAATTTCCCGATTAGGCAATGAACCATACGCTTTACCGTTGACGCACAACCACACCCACGACCCCACGCCTAATCTCACCGGGAAACAATGATCAGCCCACAGTTGCAGAGCGGCGGCAGCCAGATAATTATTATCCTGGTTTATTCTCCCCGCATTTGCCATAGCCACTCTGCGGGGTGGAGAGGAAGGGCATCGCAGACGGTGGCAGCGCACGCCCCCCCGTCTCGGCAAGCCCTCAACCAAACCCTTTATGCACTGTTAACGTGTTACGACGCATCGTTTCGTCAATCGCTAATCCATGGCACTTGCCACTGTGCTTCCCTTGCTTCCTTTGACCAACCCCCACCCTACGCCTTCATTGGCTACGCTACGACAAACGCACACTCACTTAATTATTACTCACAATCACCTAGCATTAATCTAATGACCCATCAGCATAACGATAGTATTTAATGACTTCGCCAAAGTACCCTATCAGTATTCGATGACTTTAATGGTATTGAAAATAGAAAGTCTTTCTGGCTCTGCCAATACACAAAATGTATAAGTTGACATAGACTTACCAATAATGCCGATGACGTCTTGAATCGAACCTTAATGGTTTAAGGCATCGGCGAGGACTGCTCGTGATGGTTCACCAACGCTAAATATCGTAACTATGAGCATAATCAATGTTCTAGAAAACCGGTTTAATTGAGTATGTCTATCAACTTGATGACTTCGGCCTTAGCTTTGTTGTTTGGTTCGTTGGGTACTATATACTGTGGCTTAGTTTGTGATGCTGGCTAATTGATGAGGACGACGTCGTCGGCCAGCTGGCGGGTGTGGAACCGGAAGTGGCACCCCCACCGAACAAACTGCTCCAGCAACGCCACGTCGAGGAGGCCGTGGATGTCGTCTCTGACCTCGGCGACGTGGCGGTCAAACGGGTGCACCATCTCGCGGCACTCGTAGGCGTAGTCAAACGCCAGCATGAGACTGTCACTGCTGATGCCGTCGAGCTCGAGAAACCCGTAGTGGTAGGCGAGGTACCCCACCAACAGCGGCGGGATGACGATGCCCTTATCGGCAAACTCGTTGACGATCGACGCCTGGGCCACCGTCAACGATTTCTCTTGGAAGTGACGGATGACGATCTGCTCGTGGTCACTCGTCCACGGCACCTCGGTCCACTCGACAAGGCCGTTAGGGTGGGACTCAGGAGGCGGGGATTGCGAGAACCACAGATGGAACAGCGACGCGTGGGCAGGTATCCCCGCGGGGCCGTTCGGGAGACGGCGCCGTTTGACAGCTGGCTTAGTGACCACGGGCCTGGCAGACTCACGTGCGGCGCCAGTCTTTCTCGGTTTCGGCGGCGCCACCCGGAACACATGGATGTAGGGTATGCGATGAGCACCAGCGGCCAGCGCTGGCTTTGATGTCTTGTTCTTTGTGGGTTGTCTGCGTTTCTGTTGGGTGCCGTTATTGGCGCCGTTATTGGCGCCGTTATTGGTGCCGTTATTGGTGCCGTTATTGGCGCCGTTATTGGTGCCGTTATTGGCGCCGTTATTAGTTTGTGGTTTGTGGCGCCGAAGTTCCAGCTTCCATTGCTGACATAGAGCGTTAAAATCTTCATCTTGGGTCACTGGTGGCTTGCCGTCGATAGTGCCATTATTATCATTGAGGGTGTCTTCGTCGTCATCCAGTAGTACTTCGTAGATTGGCGTTCGGCGCCGGTGAGTGCCAGAACCGTGTCCTCCTTCGTAAGTGGCGGTTTTGATGTCATCGTCATCGGAGTCCGATACCTCGATGATCTCCGACGGATGAGCTATCACCGAGGACTCGCCAGTGTCAGAGTCATCAACACCTTCCGCTTGCTGGTGAGCAATGGCTTCGCCTTCGTCGGCGGCTAAACGCGCCAATTCTAGGGCAAAGCCGCTCATGATCAACCGGCGGGGTTCGTCGATTTCCGCTTTGATCAGCTCCACCTGGCGGTCGAGCGTGTCGAGCAATTCTTTAATCTCATCGCTGGCCTCAGTTGGGCGTGATTGGAGGTAGTTTTTGTACGCTTCGTAGGTATAGCAGAGCTCTTCGAAAAACGCCACCGCCGTGAACCAGGGATTGAGCGGTAGCTCTTTCTGTTGCTGTCGGATTAGGAAATTGCGCTGTAGCCTGATACGAGCCTTAGCTAGCTGCGCCAGTCGTCGCATTGAAGACCCGCCAGACTAGGGGCGTGTATGGGATTAGATGAGGGTGTGGTTGGTGATGGCGCATTAGGACGAGTGCGGGAGGTTGTGAGCGCGGGACTACTGGGGTAGTCTCAGCCAGACCATAGCTATACCAACCTAAGTGATCACCTTCAGTCTAGTATTGATATGCTTACAAATTTCCATTGTTTCAGATTTACTCCGGTGAATCTTGTCTTTGGCAGGTCCAGATGAGAATTGGGCAATTTTGGTTGTAGTGAGAGAAGCTCTACCATCTAAGAAGTAATAGGCCAATGCCGTTAATAAAACCAACATGTCCAGTTGTAAATCAAATCTATGATTGTCTGGCTTGTCCTAACTCTACTGCTATTGCTTGGATTCCGCCGGGTGGTGCTCCCACCACGGAGTTTCCCCTCCAATATCCCTACCATTCCTTTCTACGTCTCATTTCTCCCTTTAATAACGGGATGGGACCAAACTCAAGTATACGAAAAGTACTTGAGAAAGCCGTTTGAAACCCATGGTACCGTCAATCTTTACTTTGCTGGCCGCTGGAACGTCGTTTTCGCTCGTCCTGACTACGTGCTTACGTTATGGAAACATGTGGATAAATTTACGAAATCAGGCAACCAACACAAGATCCCGTACTCGGTGCTTGCTCACTACACTGGTGATAATATCATCAGTGCTCACGGTGACGCCTGGAAGCTATACCGTCGCATTATGGCACCGGCTATCCAAAACCCTGACTGTTCCCAAATTGCCACGAATACCGCCGATATCGTCACCAAACTTGATCAGCAACCATTTGCACCACTACTACAAAACTTGGCGTTGACAAATGTTGCTGAACTGGTGCTTGGTGTTGATATTGATATCGATTATTGGCTGCCACAAATTAACGGGATCAAAAAAGTGATCTTCAAACCGATGTACATGGCGTTCGCTTGGCTTGATCTTATTGTGCCGTCGAGATGGCTAGTTAAACGGCAAATCGCTCAGTTTAGACACGATTTCACGCGAACTCTTACGACCAATAGTCGTCAAGGTGGAGCCATTGATCGCCTCTACCAGCTGCTTCTCCACGACGACATCACCGAAAAGCAATTTGAGGATAATGCCATTATCCTAATGGTTGCCGGCCACGAAAACCCTTTATTATTCATGTTTTCGCTACTCTATGTGGTTGCGAAATACGGGTTAGCACCACAAATCCGGGCTAACCCCGATGACTTAAATCCAGTGATGTACGAAACGCTCCGATTATATCCTCCCTTGGGGCAAATTGTCAACCGTAAGACATCTGTACCTATAGAGGTCAATGGTATTCGAATCCCTCAGAATACTTATGTTGGCTACCATAATTATGCTACTGGAAGGGACCCACTGATTTGGGTAAATCCTGATTTATTTGACCCATCTCGCTGGGGGAGTACTCCGGAACAAGTGAAAGCTAATTACGAACGTGCTAAACGGATGGCTCATTTGCCTGCCTTTCATGGAAGAAAGAGGGCGTGTTTGGGCCAGAAATTCGCCTTACATCAGTGTACTGAGCTCGTTATGGCCGTGGTCAACCGCTACAACGTTGCATTAGATCCCGAATGGGTAGAAAAGTGGACGCCAGCGGGACCCATTTGTCCCGTAAACCTCAAAATGAAGTTTACCAAAGTAGATGAAGAAAACTAGTATATTTATAACTTGGGATTCTTGTATCCTGGCTCCATGTATTATAGGTGATAGGTCGTGTGGTTACCAAATTGTCGCCATCTTCCTGCATAGATAATACACAGCAAGCATGAAATTGGGAGTCGTATCGCCAAACGATTATCGCCAATTTGGTTTTCGAACGACTCTTTCCACCGAATAAGTAACGACACGACCTTCTCTACCACACTACCGCTTTTAAACTACTAGAACATCAACTCCCGATTGCGAGCCCGCGATGACATCAATCCCCATTAGGCAATGGTACCGGTGTTCGGTGACTGCTAATATCTTACAAGAATCGTACAATTGCAGTTGCTTTGCTCGTCACATTCTATGCTATACATTAGGCGTCATGATATCTTTACTTGTAGTTGGAAGGGTACTTGAAGTCGGTCAACTCGTAGAAGTTCTCCTTGATGTTTCTCACCAGGACGAACCGCAGCAAGATGTTGCCCGACCCGGCCTTGTCGTTGGTGCCCGAGGCTCTGGCGCCGCCGAACCATTGCTGGCCGACCACGGCCCCGGTGCACTTGTCGTTGATGTAGAAGTTGCCCGAGGCGTATCTCAAGCCTTCCTCAGCTTCGCGGATGGCAGCCCGGTCGGTGGCAAACACGGCACCCGTCAACCCGTACTCGTTGGTGGTGTCGATCTTCTTGATGATCAGCGAGTACTCCTGGTCCGGGTAGACGTAGACGGTGACCAAGGGGCCGAAGAACTCGGTCTTCATGAAGTGGTGGTCGGGGTTCGAGGTCTGCACCAACGTGGGCTGGACAAAGAAACCGGTGGAGTTGTCGACGGACCCGCCGGTGAGGATCTCAAGCTCGGGGTCCAGCTTGGCCTCGTCGATGGCGCGGCTCAACTTGGTGAACAGCTGTTCGTGGATGACGGGGCCCATGAAGTTGTTGAGCCCTTCAGCAGTGGCACAGTTGCCGATGGTGATCTTGTCCACAGTCAGAACGAACTTCTCCTTGAATTCAGGCCACATCAGCTCGGGAACGTACAATCTCGAAAGAGCCGAGCACTTCTGCCCTTGGTACTCGTAACCGCCTCTCACGGACAGCAACACCGCGTGGTCGACCAGGGCCAGCGGGTGCACCAAGTGGTAGTTCTTACCACCAGTTTCACCGACAATTCTCGGGTAGTCGCGGTACTTGTTTTCAGCGACGTTGCGGTTGATGTCGCCGTACAACTTCTTGAACACTTGAGTGGAACCAGTGAAGTGCAAGGCAGCAAACTCGCGGTCGGCAAGGACGACGTCCGTAACCTCGACGGGGTCACCGGGGATGAAGTTGATGACACCCTTGGGCAAACCGGCTTCCTCTAAGATCCCGAGCAAGAGGTAGTTCAGGAGGGCAGCGGCAGCCGAGGGCTTCCACACACAGGTGTTACCCATAAGGGCAGGAGCCCCGACCAAGTTACCGGCGATGGCGGTAAAGTTGAACGGAGTGACGGCGTAGACAAACCCTTCCAACGGTCTGTATTCGGCCCGGTTCCACACGCCGGGGGAGGTCTCGGCGGGCTGCTGGGCGTACATCTGTTGCGCGTACTCGACGTTAAAGCGCAAGAAGTCGGCGAGTTCGGCGACACAGTCGATCTCGGCTTGGTAGACGTTTTTCCCTTGGCCCAACATCGTCGCCGCAAGCATGTCGTAGCGGTATTTGGTCAGAATAAGGTCGGCGGCCTTCAAGAAGATGGCGGCTCTGTCCGAGAACGGGGTCGCCGCCCACGCCGCCTTCGCGTCCTTAGCCGCCTCAATCGCCGCCTTGACGTCAGTGTCAGAGGCTTGCGACACAGAGGCAAGCACTTGCTCGTGCTTGGCGGGGTTCACTTGGGGCTTTTTCGCCGGCTTGTAGATCTTCTCGCCGCCAATGACCAAGGGCACTTCGAGCGCCAGGCCGATGGTGAACTTCGAGATCAGGGCTCTCAACAAGTCCCATTCCTTCGTGTCGTTACGAGTAAAGTTTTGCACCGGTTCGTTCTTGGTTGGGGGAAGCTTGGGAGTCAGCAATTGCGCCACCGTTCTCACGGTGGCCATGGCCAAGGGACGCGCCCGCGGGATCGCGGCACGGGGGAGAGTTCTCGCGGCTCTGGCGACCAGTCTTCTCAACATCTAGTGATTGGATTGGGAGAGGGGATGGTCCGGGTCATGGGGATGGCGGGGGCCTTATATGGGTCGGGGCAGGGGTGCGGCGTGTATATAGCTGCGCACGCAATAAGGTAAGAGCAAGCGAGAAGGGCAAGAGACGCTAGGGTGACCATCCAGAATAAACACTGGCAAAGTATTGTTATGACTTGGCATTAGTGTGATGATAGACTCCAATGGTCGTTATAATTGGTGCTTAAGATGGGACTCAGACAGATTATACTCGTATTAGTGGTTGCCATTGTTGTCGCTTAGCGTTTCCCTGTGCGCAACGGGGACGCGGCATCGTCGGAACCGCTGCCGCTGGCGAGCGGTTTAAGTCGCCTGCAATGGTCAGCGACGCCGTGACTGGGGCCAGAAAACCGCTTATGTGGGCTCGGGAAAAGCGGGGGAACCTTGGGTGTTTGACTGTTTCTGCTTTCACTGGTGGAGTTTGGGGAAATTGCCTTGGACACCTCGCGATGAGATCCTCCTGAGGGGAAGCCCAATGGTGTGGTATATACTCTGAGACTCAATCAGGCTACTACCATGCCTACGTCAAATCAAACGTCGACCATTTTAACGGTGTTTGATTTGATAAATTGGTTATTCACCGTCACCATCAGTCTTTACGTGTGTGGACGGAATTGACATATCGAATAAATCTCGGCCGATGCAGGTGATACAGATTAGCCACGCTGCTGCATGACTGCTGATTCGAGAATAGACGTTTTTTTTCTAGGTTGGGGAGTCGTTGCCGAGATTTGAAGGTGTGTAAACAGTGTAGCCAAATTTGAGTTAAACGTGGATTCGTAGATGTCATTCATGACTACATATAGTTATAAACTGCTTTCCTCGCTTCTTTTCCATGTTTCCATCGGTTTGCTTTGATATGGGTGGCGTCTAAGACAATTGTACTTTGGGAATTACACCAACACCACATGTCAATCTCGTTGTAGTTATTATCCCAACAATAAACATGATTATTAAAGGGGGGGATCCATGAGTTAGAGTAATTTAATACGTGTTTTGCAGCCATATTGGTATTCCCTAAAATTTCATAAATTGTTAAAATTTTCATGTAGTTTTTAAATTTTACCAGAAAATCTTTAAAATTCAATCAAAGCACTTAAATGTTATTTCTAGTGCGATATACTGACATGTCTATTTGTATTATCTATCTTATAAGTCTATTAGTTATGTATTTCCATCATGTCCACCTTCATTAACCCTTGAACTCCCTCCTCACCCCCATATAGGAATGCTTCATTTTTTCAACTCCTCGAGGAGCTTCCGCTTATTCTCAGCGAATGCCTCTTCACTCGCCGTCAACTGCTCCGCCACGTCATCAAGATGGGCGTCCCATTTCTTCATATAGGCTTCAATCAGCGCCAACACTTGGTCTAACCTCTGGTTAGCGTCAACACAGTTTACCACCTCGGCGTGTACCGAAGCCAATGTTTGTAGTCTATCAATGATTCCAGGCACCTGTTCGTTTACAGCATCAAATTGCGGTAGCCGGTTGAATAGCTGTTCCACTTGTACCGGGTGTGGCGTCTTGGGTTCTTCCAATTCAAACACTTTCTGTTTAGCAATCAACTTCTCATAGTCTTCACTCAACACCTTGAGCTTATCTTGAACTTTTCCAAGCTCATATTCCGGGTTATAAATAATATTGATCTTGCGGTCCAAGTCGGCCACCACTGTCAGCACTGGCGCATCCCCCACACGACTTTCGAGACTAGCCACACGTTTCTCCACTGATGAAAGCCCCAGAGATGGTATAGGTGATGGTGTTTGGACTGAAGATGACCCCATTTCATTTGATGGATGATCCACTGATACATGCTTAAATAGGGCCACAAGTTCCTGGTAGTGTTCGCTATACCTCAGTGGTTGTTTCAGCGCTTCCACCATTTGTTTCAACCGCTCAATTTCTTCGGTGTCATCCTCTTCTTGCTCGAGTTCTTCTAGTTCTCTGGCAATCCGTAGTAGTCGCTGTTGACGAGTCTCCAACCCCAGTTTCGGCGTAGTCTCTGTTTCCCCAAATAGTCTAGCACCATTTCCACCAAAACCAAGATCTAGATTTTGAAATAATGCCCCTCTGGCGTCGATACTTTCGGTTATAATATCCTCATTAGGCGGGGGCAGCGGCGGCTGGGGATTGACGATCTCGGTATCGCTGGTCTCATACACGTCTCTCAGCGACGTGTCGATACCGGGAAGGCCCGCAAATTTCGACATTCAGAGGTCACGGTGAAGGTATGGGGGTAGGGTGTGGAGTGTGGTGTCGATTGGACTTGGGCTTAATCGGGTAAGTGCGGCTCATGGCGATAAACGCGTACTACCCTCTGGGGTATACATGGGAATTCGAATCTTAATAGAAAGGTTGACTTTCAAATAAACATGTCGAGAGAGTTGACGATAAAGAGCAGTTGAATGTGGTGAAATTCTTACATGACCCCCCGGTAATTGACATTTTCAAATCCCAATTAATTGTAAAGCGAATATTTATCGACTACTTATCAACTGCCATGCCATTGAGTATTGCCATCATGGCACCATTAAACCAACCTTCGATTTCAATTATGTTGAACGCATTTTCATTTTTTTTGGTAGAGGCTTGTTGTAGAGTATCGAAAGCATAAAGGTATTACTGTGGTTTCTCAATTAAAATGTATTCGATGATTTTATACACAACCCCAGAGGATGTATATGATAAGTAGACACGTCTACTTGGTGACGATTTGCACGACGTCTTCATCGTGCACTTCGTGGGTGAGCCCACACTTTTGCGGCGAGTGCTTTGCACTCAGCCCCCACACAAGCGCGTACTTAAACTGGTTCTTCATGTCTCTGTGGATGGCGTCACACACCTCCAGCACCGTCAGATGGTTACGCACCACCATGGGGTCGTCAAGCACCGGCGCCACCCCTCTACGCTTAGTATAGAGTCTAAGCAAGTCCAACTGGCGCCAGATCTCTTCCTTCAAGTCCTCGATCCCCAAGTCCAAAGCACACAGCATCACCACCGTATTCGGCTCACGGGCAAGCCGGTCACACTCCTCAAGCAGCACCGCGTCGATCTTGTTATACACATAGAGACACTTGATGTAGCTGATGTGTTGGTCATTGATGATGTCGATAAAGTCGTCGATAGTGACGTTTTCGTCACGAATAAGCACGTCGGCGTTGTGGATCTTATACTCTTTCAAAAGGCCCAGCACCACCTTCTCGTTCAAGTGTTTGGGCGGGTTGATCAGGTTGAGGCGGACCCCGCCCGTCAGCTTGATTTTCAACAGGATATCGGGTCTTGTCTTGTTCAAACGGATCCCCATCAGCTCCAACTCGTTCTCCAAGATCTGTCGCTGGTCGCCGGACTTGGTAGCGTCCAACACCATCATGATAAGGTCCAGCGTCTTCAGTACGGCAATCACCTGTCTCCCTCTCCCCTTACCCTGAGACGCGGCTTTGATGATCCCGGGAAGATCGACAATCTGTACTTCAGCGCCATTGTACTCCAAGATCCCCCCCACCGACGTCAACGTGGTGAATTCGTAGTTGGCGGCTTCACTCTTGGTATTGGTCACTTTCGACAAAAACGACGACTTACCCACCGAGGGGAACCCGATAAGGGTCACCCGGGCATCCCCCGCTTTGGCGACCTCAAACCCCTGGCCGCCGCCGCCGCCGCCGGCCTGGGTGGGCTCCATCAACTCCCGCCGGTACTTGGCCAACTTCCCCTTCAAGAGCCCGATGTGGTACTCGGTGGCCTTGTTCTTCTGCGTGCGTGCCAACTCCTCCTGGATGGCAGCGATCTTCTCAAGGATCCCCATGGCGTAGGTACAGTGAAGGTATTAAAGTGATAGGCGTTGGTGGTCAAAGAGGTCTGCGCGACCCCAACAGCCGTGCAACACCCACGAGGGAATTACCTAACGGAATAATCGAGAAATAAACTTGAGGATTAGAAGGGCAAAAGAAATATGACTCATGAATTGTTTGTAGAGATCTTGGTAGATGCTGATGAAGATTTGGTGAGTGTGATTTGAGTGAGTGAGGGGAAAGGTTAAGTGTTGCTTTTATTAAATGCTTATTGTCAAATTGTAGCTTACAATATGGAAATCGTTGCTTTCAGATTCAACTTAGAGGTAGACTTTGGGCTATTGCCGATCCCTTGTCTCATTTAATTAGTGATGAGTGCTCTCACTAGAAGCCGTACTTGAAAGAATACGAAAACTGATAATTCAAACAGATTATTATGGTCACCACTGATCAAATGAATTATTCGACGAGCCGAATCTTAATTTCCGACGCTAAAATCCTCATTTGATACTCCCTTGTCGACCCCATCGCTTAGCTCATCGGAGCCGCACTCATCGCAGGAAGCCAGACCCCAGATCAGACCTTCACCCTGCTGGAGCCATGCCCAAAGCCCCGAGAAAGAGAGGAGCCTCCATCGAGGTGTCGGCCGCCATGGGCGGCGGCAACGCCAAGATCAAGAAGAAGATAAGAGACATCGAGCGGTTGTTGCGCAAGGACACCCTCGGCGCCGACATCAGGCTCGAAAACGAAAGAGCGCTCAAGGCGTTGCGGGTCGAGCTCGAAGAGGCCCAATCGCGGCTCAAGGAGAGAAAGACGGCCAAGAAGTACCACATGGTCCGGTTCTTCGAGAAGAAAAAGGCGTTGCGCAAGTTGAAGCAAGCCACCAAAGAGGTGAAGCGGTTGGAAGAAGAAGGCGACAAGAAAGCGATCAAAAAGGCTCGCCGGGTGCTCAAACACGCCCAGATCGATACCGCCTATGTTTTGCTTTTCCCCAAGAGCCAGAAATACCTCTCGTTGTACCCTAATGACCACGAAACTAACAACGAGGCTAACTTGACCGCCAAGGCGAAAAAGGGGATCCAGGAGACGGAGGAAGCGCGCCGAAATCGCCGCAAGGAGATGGAGAAGCTTATAGACGAAGACCAGTTGCCGTTTACCTTTGAGGACGTGCTTGCCGGCAAGGAAGTCGACACCACATTGGCTCCGGCAGCCACCCCGCTCGCCGAGATCGACGCTGCCGAGGACAACGCCGACGACGAGGACGACTTTTTCGAGTAAAATTAGGATTGGCATTTATAGACACTCACGAGATCATGTGTAGCCACTAGAGACTGCAAAACATTCCCAGTCTTGTTCCACCAAAAGTCGTGGATCAGTTGGGTTACAAGTGGAATTATTTTGACGACAGTTTGCTCTAATTTTCTTGGTTGTTTTGAGTAGTTTTAATCAGGTATTGTTGTCGTTAGAGACTTTTTCTACCTCGTCTGGTAATATTGTTTTCAGTCATTAAGCGCACACGATCTTAGTACGCGTTGCTGCTAACAGAGGACAACCATGATTTGCGCCCACTACTTGCCTTGAGGAGCCAGCCAACTGATTGACTAACTGTTCCATGAGCTTCTACTACCACAACCCCTTCCTGAGGCGATCGACTTCGATGGGATTCCATGAGGTTCGATCTAAGCCACCATTCCATGAGGTTCCATTTCCATGACCTTCGATCACCTTCCATCGCCTCAACTATATAACCACCACCTGCCTCCCACTAGGCAATCCTTAATTCAAAACAAACAATCATGAGCAAAGCTGTTGGTATTGATTTGGGAACGACCTACTCGTGTGTGGCTCGCTTCGCCAACGACAGATGTGACATTATTGCCAACGACCAAGGGAACAGAACCACCCCTTCGTTCGTGGCTTTCACCGATACTGAGAGATTGATTGGTGATGCTGCTAAGAACCAGGCAGCGATGAACCCGGCCAATACCGTGTTCGATGCGAAACGGTTGATTGGTCGCAAGTTCAACGACCCTGAGGTTCAAAACGATATGAAGCACTTCCCGTTTAAGGTGGTCGACAAGCTGGGGAAGCCTGCTATCCAAGTCGAATACAAGGGTGAAACTAAAGTGTTTTCTCCTGAAGAAATCTCCTCAATGGTATTGGGGAAGATGAAGGAGACCGCTGAAGCCTTTATCGGCCTGAAAGTGACTGACGCTGTGGTCACGGTACCTGCCTATTTCAATGACTCGCAAAGACAAGCCACTAAGGATGCCGGTCTCATTGCTGGTCTTAATGTGTTGAGAATCATTAACGAACCTACGGCGGCTGCTATTGCCTACGGTTTGGACAAGAAGGGCAACACCAAGGGTGAACAGAACGTGTTGATCTTTGACCTTGGTGGTGGTACTTTCGATGTGTCGCTCTTAGCCATTGAAGACGGTATCTTCGAAGTCAAGGCTACTGCTGGTGACACCCACTTGGGTGGTGAAGACTTCGACAACCGCTTGGTCAACCACTTCATCCAAGAGTTCAAGCGCAAGACCGGCAAGGACATCACTGGCAACCAGAGAGCGTTGAGAAGATTGAGAACCGCCTGTGAACGGGCCAAGAGAACCTTATCTTCGTCGGCTCAGACTTCAATCGAGATTGACTCGTTGTACGAAGGCATCGACTTCTACACCTCGATCACCAGAGCCAGATTCGAAGAATTGTGTGGTGACTTGTTCAGAGCTACCATGGACCCGGTGGAAAAGGTGTTGAAGGATGCCAAGATTGACAAGTCGCAAGTGAACGAAATCGTGCTTGTTGGTGGTTCCACCAGAATCCCTAAGATCCAAAAGTTGGTTTCTGACTTCTTCAACGGCAAGGAACCCAACAAGTCGATCAACCCCGATGAGGCTGTGGCCTATGGTGCCGCTGTGCAAGCTGCCATCTTGACTGGTGACACCTCGTCGCTGACCCAAGACTTGTTGTTGTTGGATGTGGCTCCTTTGTCTCTCGGTATTGAAACTGCCGGTGGTATCATGACCACTTTGATCCCGAGAAACTCCACCATCCCCACGAAGAAGACGGAGACCTTCTCCACTTACGCCGACAACCAACCCGGTGTGTTGATCCAAGTGTTTGAAGGTGAAAGAACCAAGACCAAGGACAACAACTTGCTTGGTAAGTTCGAATTGTCGGGTATTCCTCCTGCCCCTAGAGGTGTGCCTCAAATTGAAGTCACTTTCGATTTGGACGCCAACGGGATCTTGAACGTGTCTGCCTTGGAAAAGGGTACTGGTAAGACTCAAAAGATTACCATCACCAACGACAAGGGCAGACTCTCACAAGAGGATATCGAACGCATGGTGGCTGAAGCTGAGAAGTACAAGGAAGAAGATGAAGCTGAAGCTGCTAGAGTTGGTGCCAAGAACGGTCTTGAATCCTACGCCTACTCGTTGAAGAACTCCATCAACGGTGACTTGAAGGACAAGATTGATGCTGGCGACAAGCTGACTCTTGAAAAGGCTATTGACGAGACCATCTCGTGGTTGGACGGTGCTCAAGCTGCCACCAAGGAAGAATACGCCGATCGTCAAAAGGAATTGGAACTGGTGGCCAACCCCATCATGTCTAAGGTCTACGGTGGTGCTGCTGGAGGCATGCCTGGTGCTGATGCCTCCGCTGGCGCTGCTGGCTCCGCTGGAGCTGAAGGTCCCTCGGTCGAAGAAGTCGACTAAACATGTATATAATGACAATAATATAACGAGATGAAAGAATAAAGCTGTAGATATTCGATTAAAAAGACAAACTGCCTCTCGATTTTCATTACCGGTATTAAATCGATATTGTCACTGGTATGTCTTAAACGATGTGATTGATCATTGCTTTATGTAATGTCGCTATCGAACCGATGGTCAGTCCCAGTCCTCCAATGTTTCCATTGACTGATGAGCTTACTAATAGGCAAATGTTCACGGTTACCCCAAAACATATCAGAATTGAGCCAGCTTTCTCGCTGCAAAGTTTTCTGTCGTTGAATTATGTTATACTCGATCAATGACCAAACTTGGATTTTCACTATTATTTCAAGCAGATGATCCAAAGGGATATAACCATGTTTAGAATGGAAAATCACGTACATGGAGCCTTTCTGTGGATATGTGTAGACATCATAGCGGCATTGAACCTTGCTCCTTTTGTAACCTTGTTCGTTGAGCCGCTTGAAGCAAATTATCCCCGGAACCTTCTGCAGCATCTTCACCCGATTTCTGAAAGGGCGAGTTGCGTTAACTACGTGAAGCTCGTCCACACTTTCGGGAACATAGCTCTTTGCTTCAAACGTGTACCCCTTGTCATCAATGATTTTGAGCAATCCAGACCCTTTGGCAGTGATGGTTCCCCGAGGAACGACAATTTGATTGGCTTTCTCTTGATGAAAATCACTCAATAACTGCTGTTGTATTGTACAAGAACAAAAATAATTTGTGGCTATAATAGCCATTGGACTAACTGCCTCAATTGGTTTGAGTAGAGCGCAACCTAAAAATTTCTCACTCTAAGCAATATTTTGTCTGCAAGTATGGATGAATGTTGCTCCACTGGCTCGATTGAAGAACAGACCAATTAAATTATTGACCCAGTCTTACTGATAACTCTCATAGTGTCATCAATATCGTCAAAGGGGTAGTCAAGGTATTGCTCAAACTCTTTACGTATGATTTGTTTGAGTTTCCCCTTGAACAGCGAGCAATTGATTGGGATTTTATTGTCAAAAAAAGGTAAAATTTCTTCAACAAAATCCCGAATCTGACCTTCAGCAAAAGAAGTGTTGTGGGTTGTAATCCAATGATGTCTTACCTCTGCAACTTTACTTAGGATCTTCTGAAAGTCTTTGTGATATACCTTCACATCACAAAATGAGTCAAGTAGAGCGGTGGCAATGAATGTAGGTTCCAAATACTCCGAATTTAGATAAAGACACTTGAGTTTATCCTCGACATTGACGTTTCTCGGATCATCTGTACACACCTTTTATAAACATTCATAGAATCTTTCCATATAGATAACCGCATTCAGTTGTGCGGACAAGGCAAGATCAATATGTGTATCCAAACTAGGATCCAGTCTGGAAACAATTTTCATTAGATCGAATCAAAATTGGCGTAGGTGCCACTAGCGTCTGCGTTAATCGCAACAAACCTGAGGCTGACATTCTTGGAATTAGTTGCACGAAGAATAGACAACAACGACCTCTTTATCTCATGATGATGCTTTGATGGCGTAGACTCTGTGTCTCCAATCGATGGCTTTGACGTATTTGACATCAATGAGATAGCGATCTTGGATGTTGACGGAAGTCGCGTGACCTTGAGTGTGCAGACCATTGCCATCAACTTTGGCTGTGGTAAGTCTAACATCAGCGTTGCACATGACAACGGGCATTATTAGAGGACACCAAGAGTCGATGCAAAAACGCGGACGGCAACGGCTTGGGAATCACATCAGCTAGTTAGTGGCTTATCTGGAAATTAACTTCAATTACTCAGGCCAGGCTTTAATTGTACAATCGCGTCGTTGCTACAACCTGAGTTGAGTATGTTGAGAATTCATAATGTCCAAGACTTCAACATATTCGTACTGCTCTTGAAAGCAGTATGATGCGTGCGACTTTCAGAAGCAATCCAATCATAAACCTCGGACGTGCTGCACTCATTGGCAAGTCCTTGGTAGACTGCTTGAATAAGTGTGATCTGCTTGATAATAACTTTGCCTTAACTCCATACTTGATTCATGTGGCATGTACATGAAGTCTTGCCGAAACCCCTTAGTTTAGGGACTCACTCCCAACTCAGACCTGGGTGATCGGCTTCTACAAACCCAGAATGTTAGCCGTAGTTATGGCCTAATTAATTAAACACTAAATATCGAACTGCAAAGGGTAAAGTGCAGGGTTGGCTCCGAGGTCGGCTATGATCCAATGTGATTAAATGAAACTAAAGTCAACAAGGTTTGAGAGCGTTGAACTAAAAATACTTTGAAGTTTTAGCTGTTTGCGAGCTGTGCGCTCTGTGAATTTTGGATGTTATGGTGTAGAAAATGTACCTTTTTGATTCAGAAAACGCCCTCTCTGTTATCACGCACATAAATCGCCCCCAATCATGCGAGACAATATGCAATCCTGTATATGGTACGCACACTCCTGCAAGCTGCTTCAGCATCCAAGAGCTCTCATCAACTATGATTTGACACTCCCTTGGACCATGATTATTCACAAAAACCTGGCTACTGCTTAGAATAGATTTTAATAGCGCTGCTCAGCTTCACTTTGAACTCGGTGATCGGTACTGGATCTGAGCCCTCGTTCATCGAGCTTATCGAAGAGATAGTACATTTAATCTTAAAGCTTTTCAAGAATAATTCTTGGGCCTTCGACCAAAGTTTATTCCATAAGTTCGTGAATTTTGTCTTACGTATTCCTGATGCAAACACAACGACAGCTGCAACTGTGATTGTCAACTTTTGATGCAAATTTCCCTGTAATGTCTTGCACGTCATGGAGTGTAGTACATCGCAAGTGTCCAGCGACTTCGCTGATGTTGCCGCGTGTGCCATTATGACGTACGCCACTGATTAGGATACACCTGCTACCATGAAAAAAAAAAAAATAAATCGACTTGTACTTGTTAATGGTGGTTCACCAATGAGAAGTGAGGCATGGTTGTCTTTCCTAGAGGAAGGAGTTTATAAAAACTTATCAAAAGCATTGGTTGATGTTTTGAATTCAATGCGACCGTCCCCAGTTCTGAATTCGGAACCCTCTGCTTCAAACCCTAATGAGAGCTCATCATCAGTACGTTCCCGAGCCATGAAAATTCCTAAAGCTGAAGGCCTGAAGGAAAGTCCAGGCAAAAATGATGAAAAGCAAACTGAATTATCACAAAACGAGCGTGCTACTACAGACACCAGCAATTTTTCTTCAAGCACTTTCCACGAGTGTGTCTTCAACATCACCACAGCTTACTTCATTAGCGGTGATGATCGCCGGTTGGTTCTACCAGAGAATACCAAAAGGGGTTCTTCCGGTGTTTGAGTAAGTATCAAAATACGTTTTTGTTGTAAGCCTTCAGAGCTTAGAAAAAGAACCAGGAATATATGTACAAGGGTAACAGTACTATTATTGTGAACCTAACCGTTTTACCATCCATATTGTCACGCCTTTTCCATAGTGAGATTGCCAAAGTTATTGGGGTAATTTGAAAGAACATACTTGACCATGGAAGTATGGCATCAGAGTTTGATCGATGTGTGATTTGAAAACGACAACCATGAAGCAGGAGAAGAACTGTTCAATAAGCTTGCTGGTGTAAATTTCACCTCTGGGCACCCAAAAATTTTCAAACAATGACGTTTCGCTTTTTTTTTTCGCTTGTTCTTATGGCGCTGCATGAACTTGCTCACAATGTGTAGCCAATATCATACGACAAAGCATGTGGTATATTTTTTTTTTTTCCATAAACTTGCATTAGTATCTATCTATCGTCTGTAAAAATAACGTATAAAGTATGAACGTCTGAGCTAAGGTAGTGAGAGCCAGGAACCCACGTGGATGACCAGGTGACCTTGGTTTCGTAAACAAGTCTCTTATCTTTACCCCTGATCATCCTTGCTTTTTTTTTTATCTATAAGTATGCATTAATATCTACCTGTAAAAAACGGTTGTAGAAGACTCTAAGAGCCACCTACCGCCGTGAAAAAAACAGATAAGATATCTGCGAGTTGAGGAAGCAAGAACAAACTGCAAACCTCTGAGAGAGTAATAACTGAAGTAGGGTGCTCAAGCAAAAGGGGGAATGTGACCCGTAGCCACAGGGTATCGAACCCTGATCTCTCCTTTTGGGATTATGTTAGCCAATTACACCATAGCCGTGGGTGATTCGAGCCAGCTGGTCTAACCTCCGTGGGATCTAAGGTAAATTTCTGACGGAGATAGGATAGATCGGATCCGGATTCCTAGGTATAAATGTAGACGGTTGGTGTCAGAGATGCAGAGGTGGAGAAGCTCAAGGAACTCGCCGATGAGTTCGGGTTCGGAACGGCAAAGTATATCATGGATGCCGACGCGGACCAACTAGCTGCGGGAGACGACAAATCAATGCCTTCGCATGAAGCTGCAGCTAAAAGCGAACTCGTCTGATTGGTTAAAGAAGATCACTGTAAAAATTATATAAGTATTCCGGTGCGGAATATTATCCTCACCGGTCGTCTAATAGATAACAGCGATGAACTCTGGTCAAGGAGCGCCCGAATGGGCCGGATTTCTCAAGCATATATTGGATGAGAATACCAATAACATGAGGGCCATTCAAGAGATGATCCACGAGAATAACAAGAATATGCAAGCTGTTACTGAAGCTTTGGGCGCGCTAACTATGTATACGGCCTCAGGAGGAGGTCAAGTTGGCGGCGGCCGGACAGTTGGCTCAGTGTAGGGTCAATCCACTCACAGACTAGTAAGCGAAGTCGGCAGTTTCCTTACTAGCCCAAGTTGTGTCACCAGATATACGACAAAGCAAAATCTGCCCGCGTGGCCCAATGGTTAAGGCGCTCGACTTCTAATCGAGCGATTGTGGGTTCGAATCCCGCCGTGGGTTTGTTTTTTTGCTTACCAAACTACTTCAGCGATTTGAGCATTGATGGTACTAGTCTTTTACATTTGTTTATCTGGTTTCTGTGGTCTTTTTTTCAACCCGCACTTTGTTAGCTTTTTGTAACAAAAAGAAAAAAGAGTTCAGAGAGCATATTCGTATTACATGGAAATTTTTATGTTGGGCTCATTAACATATGATGTTAACGGCAACAATGTTTCAAAAGCTACTAAACCCAGATCTGTTACTTGGTATCGTACAGTATTATATACTATGATGGCATTGTTTAATCATCATAGGAAGCAAATCCCGTGGGAACACTTATGTGAGGAGCGTAAGCAAATAAATCGTAGCCACAGCTGCTCTTCCACTAGCGTAAAATGGACCCAGCTGTCTCATCCATGGCTGTCTTCACCTGATTGCCGAGTGCCACATTTTAAAGTTCGCCCTGAGGACTGGAGTCACACACCTGCTACCAGAGAGACCACGAGGGTCTCCAGCAGAGGGCACACCGACTTCAATGCGACACAACAGAGTGTAGGCACCGTCGAATCGTGTCAACTACAGCCGTGTCAGAGGCAACCAAGCCACCATACTCTAGTGGAGAAGTAGCCATGACCAAGCTTGAAAGTGTGAAGAGATAATAGCGGGACAGGCTCGATATTTATGCTGTTCTGCAAGACACTCGGGGAAAAATGTTCAGGTTGACGACAAAGACCCAAGCGGCAAAGGCGGGCCCAGCATTCCGCGTCGCCATTGTTTCTCATTGTTGTCTCGTCAACAGCCCCGCCAAAATTGAGAGAATTGTCCAGCATTCCCCAACCGCGCGATCCTTCGTCGTGAAGGGGTAGCAACGGCGACAGTAGGAAGATTCAATCGAGATCCTTAACGCACGAATACGACTGGTGGCAAACAAGAAACAACTGCACCACAACATAGGGTGTCCTCATACAGCCCAACCTTCATAATCACGCCAGTGGCTTTAGTTGGTGGAGTAAAGAGTTGATTCCAATGGATGATTAGCGGTATGTTTCCCTCGAAGACCTGAAAACCGAGTGGGAAATCGACTTAAGCCACGAAGTGACCCCCTCGGTTTGTCGGCGTTTGTCGATGGGTACTCAGTAGTGCACTGATATTGTGATCTCCAAGGCCCTCTATGAATCTCTCGGTCAGAAGAATTATATTAGACAATTGAACCTGTTCCTATCAGTTCATTCGCCCTTAGGCATCATCAACAACATAAGCAGCGTTGTAGGAGTCAATGCCACGCAATCGCACTGGGTCAAAGTCAATTAGTACACAATCATGGGAACTCAGCTCAATTCGTCATTCATCAAAGATCCAAGTCGCTATGAAAACACGGCTTTCACTTGGGTGCACTAACGGCGATTCCCGACGAGTTAGACCTCGAAGTGGATTGCCATTATTGAACGCCTCCCCGTCATATTCTGTTGAGGGTACCCCTAATTGGATCAAGCCATTACCTCAAAATAGAAATTACCGCTCACTTTCATATCCCAGTCATTCAAGCTCTTTCCAATAGCATATAGTAACGGTCAATCTTTAGTTACCCCATCTCGCTCCAACACTAACCTCTCTCTTCCCATCTCGCTTTCCCCATGGTAGTACCCCTGGGATCCGGGGTTCACTCCACTGTGTGATGCGCGCACTGGCTTCACCCGAGAGCGCCGGTTCCGGCATTACGAGCGGTGCGTGCGGCGGCGATGCCGACGCTAACCGAGCCGCCGGCGATGACCTCCACATATAAGGTGCACGCCACGCTCACGAGTACTTGAGTCATCCCATTCTGCTTATACAACCATATCACGATGACCCAAACACTGGTATTTGCTTCCCTCGAAACAGAGCCCGCTGACCCCATCATCCAGGTGATGCAGGCCTACGCTGCCGATGCTGACCCCAATAAGATCGACGTGCTGATTGGGGTTTACTTTGATGAAAACGGCAAGTTTGTCACCTACCCTTCAGTGGCTAAGGCCAAAGTGAAGCTCGCTCAAAATGACCCTGGCCACAACTACCACACGATGAAAGGGGTCCCTGAATTTGTGGCTGGTGCTCGTGAAGTGATCTTTGGTAAGGACAGACTCCAACCGAACCGCATTGCTTCGCAACAGGCGATCCTGGGGCTGGGGGCGTTGCACCTGGCGTTCAACGTCATCACCAAGCAAATGCAGCGGAAACAGTTCTACGTGGGCGTTCCCACTTGGGGTAACTATTTCCTGATGATCTCTCATGTTGGGGGTAACCCGCAGAGCTACCAGTACTACGACGATAAGGCTCACCAAGTCGCCTTCTCCGTTATCGAAGAAACGATGAAACAAGCGGAACTGGGGGCGGTTTTCGTTATGCAAGCCTGTTGCCATAACCCTACGGGAGCTGACTTGACTCAGGAACAATGGCAAACTGTGGCTAAGCTCGCTAAGGAGCGCAATTTGCTCCTCGTCATCGATATCGCCTACCAGGGGTTCCTGAGTGGCAGCACTGAGACTGACGCTTGGCCCGTGCGCTACTTGTTTGACCAAGGGCTCGAGTTCTTTGTGTGCCAGCTGTTCCTGAAGAACATGGGTTTATACGGCGAGAGAGTCGGCTGTGTCCACGCCGTCGCCGCGACCCCTGCCGATGCCGCCGCCATCGAGCTGAATCTCATCGTCAACTTCCGTAGCGAGTGCCTGTTTGCTCCCGCTTGGGGGGCTCGCGTAGCCGCTACTATCTTCGGTGACGAACAGTTGAAGAAGGAATGGGCTGACGACGTCGCTGCCATCACTAACAGACTCCACGGAGTTAGACAACAAATTTTGGAGTTGTTGACCACCAAGTACAAGACCCCGGGCTACTGGGACCACGTCACCCGCCAGCACGGATTGTTCTGGCACCTGGGGCTCGAGCCGAAGCATATCGAGCGGCTCAGAACTGAGCACCACGTGTACGCCGTGCCCACTGGTAGAGTGAACGTGGCGGGGCTTAACGAAAACAATGTTGAGTGCTTCTGCCGCGCCGTCGACGAAGTGGTGAGACACTTCTTGTAAATAGGGGAGAAATGATATAACGAGCATAGACGAGACTTGATACGTCAAAATTACAACTAAAGATTTATCAGCATCCATTTCGCTTCATATGATCTAAGGTACAAAATTCAAGTAGCCCGTTATAAAGATAAACAGCATACCAATCGTGCTACGGACGGAACTGAAAGATTAGTTTCAGGAGTATATTTACCGGCTGTTTTAAAAATCAGGTGGCTAGTAGTTGATGGTAGCAAAGCCGTTGTCAGCGTTGGCGAGAGTGTTGACCATGATTATAAGTTTGTGAGAATTTTTAATGAGGAAGGCGGTGGTTTTTTTTTACAAGTTTTCCGAGATATACACTTCCAGGCGAATGACTGAGGGAACGCTTTAAGACTTTTATAATGATGGCATCAGTGATTTCGAGGGCAAGATTGAATTGTTCTATACTGTAGAGGAGAGTCTGATCTGCCACTACTTGTATACGATTGTGCGTCTCTATGATCTTGTGGTTATCGGTTGGAGCCGCCATCGCTCGCGATATATTTCGCCACCTTGACCAGTCAAAAATCCCCGCTCAAAGTGGCTTAACAAATTAGATCAATCTGCTATATGTCAACTCAGAAACAATGCTAACGATTAGTACTCGTGGCCTCTCTACATGTACCCCAGATCAAAAACCTGCGATTATGTAAGGCTGCATGCGTCGAACGAAAGTAATTGAAAGCTAGCATCGATTCAAGGATCTGTACCGAGTAATACAACAAATCAAGCTTGATTATATCATGATAAGTCGACTTGGGATTTCATTGCCAGATCAAAAACCTACAACTGAAAAGAAGCTACTTCCAATACATTTAAAATCGTCATCATTATCTTCATGGTGATATGCTCCGCGTTTGAGAAAACCCAGCTTGAGCTCACAGACACGACTCGAATCACCTTCCACCCCCAGTGATACCAGCGTTGGTACTGGCGGTGCCGGGGTGAAAACCATCCTGTTCAGGGGGTTGCTTCTGGCTCTGGGTGTGGGGACGTTGTTACCTTGTTGTCACCTCGTAATTAGGAATATTGAAGTTTGTCTACCGATAATCGTAAAGCCCCGAAACACACTCTGCATGCCGCCTTCTAGAGCGCCGGCGCTGGACCGCCATTGTGTCGACCAGCGACGCCATGTAGGCCATGCCGAGCCCTGCACTTCAACTTGACAGTTCAACGTTGCAATATCTTCTCCATTAGTGGCAGAGTAATTAAAGTGGAGGTCCAGTGTGCCTGTTAACCACATCATGTTAAGTTAATCTGATTTAATTTATCATCTGTGGTTTCGTTTCTGTGACGATTGTTGTCATAAGAATCGAATGGAGTTCACGCCTACTTGTTTATGAAAGAATCTAGGAACTCACAAAGGCTCACTTTCATTTATGGCAGCATCACCAAAGACAAAGCCGGGAGGACATCCAACAACTTGACTGGATTGTTTTCACTACAATTTCGTTTAGTATAGTAGTCTTTGCGGATGTAAATGAAGACCGTATATATTAAAACCGTACCTAACGAAAAAAGGAGTCGCTCACGCTAGAAATAGGGAGGCGGACCCCATGGCGATATAAAAAAAAGATAGTGTGAATGGTCCCTATAATAAACCGGGGACGGGGGAAAGAAGATATGATAATGAACGAGGGGGGTGCTCGGGGACAGGTAAGTAAAATCGTGAAATCGTAGGACCAATGGGCCAAATGCATCCACACCGTCACAAGTCCTTGCGGTGGTGAATTTTCTTCAAATGGGCCTTCAAGTTATCCTTACGATTGAATCGTTTGTTGCACAGCGGTTCGTCGCAGACAAACGGCTTTTCCAGCGAGTGCAGCTTCAAATGGCGCTTGACGTGCTCCGGTCGCTGGAATCTCAGGTCGCAGATGGGGCACTTGTGCTTCTTCTTGGGGTCAGCTTTGTCCAGCTTATCCTGGCGGTTCAGCTTCACGATGGGGATGTCAATGTTGAAGTCGGGCGCCATGAGCGCCAGCGCCACCAGGCGGTGCATGTCGGCAGTTACTACCGGCACCACTGGCGGCGTCGGAGCGCTGGTGCCGGCGGAGACCGCCTGAGGCTGGTGGGCGTGGGTCAGAATGTTAGGGGCGCTTTGAGCTGGCCGCTGCGGCGCCGAAAGCCCCATCTGTTGGTGGGTAGGCTGGTGGCTCGGTTGCTGGCTGAGCGGCTGGCTCGTCGTCCACCACTCCTGGCTACCGACACTCAGGTGGTGGCTAGGAGGAAGCGAGGGGGGAAACTCGCCGTCGCCAAGGGGGAAGTCACCGTACATGTCCAGCACCTGGCTCACCTGGCTGGCGATCAGGTTCTGGAGCAGCGCCTGCGAACCCCGCGCCGCCGGCGGCTGTTTGCGGTAGTACAGCGACATGATTTGCGGTTGCGGATAGCCGTAATCCGGATTCGACAGCGATGGCGGCACCATCTGGTTGTCTTCGTAGTGTTCCTGAATCGGCGGAAACGGATACAGTTCCGGCGGTGCTCCTGGCGGTGCTCCCGGCGGCGCTCCGTGTGCCGATGTGGGCGCCGGCGCGTACGCCTGGGGCGTCATTTGCGGGAGACTAGAGAACAGCGAGTTCATCAGCGTCTGCAGCGAATTGGCGGTGGAGAACGTTGCCATTGGCGGTAACAAACCCGTGAGCTCGTCGCTGCTCTCGTACGGCTTAACGTCGTCAAAATCAAACTGGCCTAGGAGGTCTACCGGCGGCTTGGGGCGCATCAGCGGGTAGCGGGCGTGCGCTTGAGCGTGCGCCTGAGCGTGCGCCTGAGTCTGAGCTTGAACCTGTTGTTGCACTTGATTCACTTGATGGTCAAAGTGGATGGGCAGGGCGTCGCCAAAAAACATCCCTGGCGTCAGCAGCGCCAGGAAATCGTCGACGCCAGGCGCGATCAGCGCCACCAGCGCCAGTCCCGGTGGGTTCACCAACGAGAGAGGCTGCTGGGGCCGCGGGTGTTTCAGCGAAATCAGCGAGTACAGCTTGGCTTTCTTCAACTGCTTGAACGCGTCGTCGTCCTGGTCCTCAATCTTGATCAGCTCCAAGGTATCGGTGCGATTCAACGGGTACGGCGGCGGCGGCTGCGTCGCTGGCAGATATAACGGGCGCGCCTGGAACAGCGGCGGCGCCCCCAAGTTCAGCGTCGGTGTCGGCAACGGCGTCACCTCGTCGGTGGCGCTACCGCTAAGCTGAGGCTGCAGGGGCAGGAACGGTACTTGCGGCATTGTCGGCGTGGCTAGCTGCTGATTTAAGTCGACGGAGAGCCTCAGAAGCGAGCGCAGGTGGTTGCGGTGCGGGCCCAGCTTCTGGATCTTGGCGCCCTGGGTGCCGTTAGCCAAGTTTACCGGCAGCATTCGCATTAACGCCGTAGGAGTGGTGGTCATCGGGTTCAGCACCAGTTTGCGCAGCGCTCTTCTGGGAGTGACGGCGGGGGGCGGCTGCGGGAGGTGCAGCAGCAGCGCCAGCATCGCCTGGGTCAGCGCCAGCAGGTCGCCGCAGAAACTCAGGTTGGCCAGCGGGGGCGCGTGCGGGGGCTGCCCCACCATCATCGCCGGGAACGGCTCGCCAAACAGGGCAAACAGGGTGTCGTCGGCGGGGAAGAGGTCGAACTCGAGCTCGTCGTCGAGTCGGAGCGTCGGCGAGCTCATGCGGTGGGATAGGTTATTGATGGGTATATGGGGAGGGGGGTGGCCACGGCAGGTCAAGGGGAAGGCTGTTGCAGGTATAGGGAGTAACAGACAACCACGGACGACTGCGGTGTGTGGTGAATAGGTCGATCTTTCGTTCACCAGGGCGGGGTTAGGGGAGCAAACACCTTAGGGACCAACGCCAAGGGTAATACACGATAATAGGTCAATCGGTCACGGGATCAAGCCCAAGCGTTCTCTCCAGCGAATGGGGGGTACGGTTTGTCGAGGCGGTAACACGACACGTCCAGTCGGCGCTGGGTTGGAGGCGAGAGCTCTTGTCGAGGGGAGGGGGGC